AGATTATGAGGATAGTTTTATTCCACTTTCTGACTCGAGTCTGTTTCTGAAGGATTCATTAAAAAAGACTTGAGGGAATGGTTTTAATCCATCTCTAGTCTGCCCTGTGATTTGGGGCTAATCCTCTGGGAGGTTCAAGAAAGCCCATCGAACTGATGTCTTTGCCTGCTTGTCTCAAGCCACAGCAGTGGCTCAGTTCTACAGATCACAGCAGAGACAGGACTTCTCATTAGGCTTTAAATTCCTCTAATGTCATTCTCCATCATGTATGCTCAGTGTTGTCTGGCTCTGAGAGATTGTGACCCTTGCTCAGAATCCTCAGCCCATGAAGATTTTGGAGATGTGGCAGGAGATAGAAGTGCACCTCAGGTTAGGGGAGGGTAGCCTCTATTTTAACCCATTTATTCAAATGCTGTTGCGTGACAAGCTCTCACCCCTGGGAACTGGCCTGCTGTAAGTCTGACTAGAGCCACATAATAGGGCAGTGTAGAGCTAAGCAGGCATGAAGGAGGTAGAAATAAACAAGAGGATGTTTGTCTCAGCGGGAGGAATATTTTCCTGACAGATTAGAGAGGAGTTGTGAGATACAAAGAAAACCACAGATTACCAAAATGGAACCATCAGCCACTAACTGCTGCTAGGGGCAGGACACCTCACTGAGGAGGTCTCAAATGCAGACACTGGCTTGGTTTACTCAGGATGCCTCCCTGTTAGGTTTCCTTTCTCTTAGCTCCTGCATGGAGCTGAGACATGAAACAATGTTTCTTGCAATACATCTAATGCCGGGCGGGGGATGGCGGGGCTTTGATTTACTTGACATGTACTCCATCAGTGGTAGTTTAGACTGAAAAACATGCCCAAAGACCATCTGCTTCACTCTCTAGTGGAGAATGCAGTGACCATACCCAAAAATACAATTGTGTTACTTCTGCCTCACTTTGATATTACCAATGTATCTTCACCATTTCCTAAATTGTAATTAATATGTGTGTGTGTGGGATTAAATTTATATTTCGTTGTGTATTTTTTATTGTCTTTGTATGTCTAATGCAATTCTCAACCCTCTGTTATTATACCTGTTGAGAATTAACCATTAGCTGTTGATGCTGCACCATAGTTCTGGGGTGATTCTGGGGGAAGCAGGAAGCATTTAGATAAAATGTGGGACAAGGCATGATGCAGTCTCTAAAGAGAAGCTCAGAAGCTTAGAGGAAAAGTTTCCAGACATGTTTCAAATATATTTTATTTTAAGTCCTATTACAATCTTCTTAAATAAAAATGGTATGACTTTGTGTGTGGTGGGGGGCTGTCACCATGAATCTCAAGAGTGGTAAGTGAGGACGTGACCTTTGTGTGGTACAGAATTGTTTTACATTATGATGAGGTGAGGGCAGGGACCAACTGACTTAGACTCTCTGAACCCTCCTTGCTTTGCACAAAGTGAGGATTTAGTAAATGTTTTGGATGGTTTTACGATGCAAGCAATTGCAGGCCTGGTTTCTTACAAGTACAATCTTGTACCCAAAGACATTTGCAGGTTAAGAATGCAGGACTACCAGTTTCCAGTGGTAGTTTTTAAATCCTATAGTTAAAAAAAGGTGCATACTTGTTTTCCGCGCGGAATCTCTCTGTGTTGTTGTGGGCTGACGCACACCTCTCTCTGTGAACCTGGGCTGGCTTCCTACTTTGATGCACAGAGTGCTGGGAGGGGAATGGAGCCTCAGCTTTGAGGAACCTGAGAGGGTGACTGTGTTCTAGTCCTCCAAATTTTAACCCCTCCTCCCTTGTCCTAGCCAAGCGCTGAAGACAGCAAACACCTTGCTCCTCGAGGTTGACTCTGCTTAGAGGGAGAAAGAGTATGACAGGATGGGGGCTGAGAGGTCCCTAGAGCTAAGAGTGACTTACTATGTGTCAAACAGTTGTTCAGTAGCTGAGTGTACAAGAGTTCTGTCTCAAATGTGCTCGAGTATACTTAGATGACCCTGCTATTAACTTCAGTGAATTTTCCGTGTTAAAATCATTTATGAGTTGCTGTTATTAGTGAAATTAAGAGAATCCAAAAATCTAGAAATTGTAGAAAAGGAAATAATTTGAGCAGATCATGAGGAGTAACAGCAGACGGGGTGCATTCTATATATATGGGAGAAGCACTTGAATAGTGCTTATGAGTTTTTATAGTAAAAGTACCAATACCAGCTCAAGTTTCATTAAAATTATTCAGAAGTTTGTTTGTTTGTTTTTTTAAATAATTTTTAGGTTCAAAGAATGCTAAGTCAAGACAGGGTTAGTCACATAGAGGTGAATATATAAATCAGCATACGATAAAAAGTATGGGTACGGATAAATAAAAATAGTTCTTTAAATGGCACATTAAAATATTGTTCAATGATGATGTTAAAAGAATGTGCACTTTAGGGAAAGGAACTGAGCAGTCCAACACTTTGGGTCCAGCAGTAGGGCCTTTCTGGAGAGTAATCTCACAACATGCACCAAAAATCTCAAAAATACACATGGTCTCTGGGCCAACACCCCTACTTTTACACAGCTACCTGCACTGGTTGGCACCAACACAGCTGAAAAGATTTATCCACGTGATTCTCACTTCTGGAATTATTTATAATAGCTGAAATGTGACAACAGCATAACCTTTTCATGATTATTGGGCTATATGGTTGCCCACCTATATTCTCCTCCTCTGGGGTTTATTGGGAAGTGCTTTCCCACTGACAGTGCATGCTGCTGGCAGACGGAGACCTGTATGACAGTTTGAAATGGAAAAAACAGGCATGTACCACAAATTACCATTTTTACAGGGTGTTGTATGGTTCTAAATCAATGTTTTTGGTATGAAAAATATGGATTTTGATAAAAAGTTTTTTTGGGCATATACGTCTGGGGGAGTAGAATTAGTGAGACCCATACGTCCCTCTGGACTCTGAGAGTAGGATTGGTGGCATGAAGCAAGAACAAAATCCATCGTACCTACCAAAAATTCAGACACACTCAAAAATTCAGAATGCATTCCATTAACGAATACACATGGTATCAATAAAAAATTCAAAGCAGAAAATAACTGAGTCTTGAAAGGGTTATTAAATGTCACTGGTAGAGAAATGATTTAATAAATATGCATGATGAGAAAATAGGTGGCCCTTACAAGCTGGGTGATAGACATGTATTTCATGACCTGAGAAAATGTTTGTGAGATAAACCAAAAACCAAACCAAACCTGTTGCTGTCAAGTCGATTCCAACTCATAGCAACCCTATAGGACAGAGCAGAACTACCCCATAAGGTTTACAAGGAGCGGTTGGTAGATTCGAGCTGCTGACCTTTTGGTTAGCAGCTGTAGCTCCTAACCACTGCACCACCAGGGCTCCATTCATGAGATAGTGCTAACTATAAAAGCAGTTTGCAAGAGTATTTTCAATGTGAGCTCATCTTTGCAAAAATACTCACAGATGCCTAAAAAAGATTGAAAGAATATACACTAGAATATTGATATTAGCCAATGCTTTTGTTATATTTAATTTCTTGAACTTCTCAAATATCCTTAAGTGAAAATCTATTACTTTGTAATCAGAAAAAGACCATTTAAAAAAGTTAAAAGCATTGTGTGATGCATTATTTATGCCTACTTGCAGCTAAAAACATTACGGCAAAGCTCGTCTATATAACAATCTATAATTAAAAATAATATTTGGACAGTAAAATATTTTTTCTTTTGTGATACTGTTTTTGTTTATTTGTAGCAGTCCATTCTTTCACACAATTTACTCTTTTGCTTAAACTTATATAGTAAGAAAAGGAATTTAATATCCCAAGTCGCCTTCAAATGTGGACAAAACAGCTACTGGTGCAAAGCTTCTCTCTGCTGCTTAAAGACATGTTTTCTAAAGAACACATAAGATTGTCTTTCTAGTTCTTTCATTTGATGAGCATTGGCGTCTGTCAGATGAAGAGATGCAGGTGAGCTGTCTTTGGGAGAAGGTGGCGAGTGGGGGAAAGTAAGGCTGTGATTACACTACAATATGATGACATCCCAGTGGAGAGCGGGGTGTGCTGTCATTCAGGTAAGCCTGGCCAAGCCATGTGGGGAGTCAGCACAGGTAGGAGGAACGACTGGGGCGAGGGTATGGGGAGCCTGGAATGGCTCCAGAGCTAACCTGGAAGCTGTGCTGTGAATCACCCGCTAATCTTTGTTGTTTGTTGTGCTCCCTTGAGTAGATTCTGACTCAGGGCGACCCTACATAACAGAATAGAACTGGCCCCATAGGGTTTTGGAGGCTGTAATCTTTACAGGAGATCGCCAGATTTTTCTCCCTCAGAGTTGCTGGTGGGTTCTAACTGCCAACCTTTCGATTAGCAGTTAGCTCAGCCATTGCACCACCAGGGTTCCTTCCACTAATCTTAAAAAAACAGAAGAAAACATTGCTCCTCCTCTGCATGCTGAGAGCTGGCATTTATCTAGTGGCACTTTTCCCTTGTTAATCCAATCTGCAGTATTTATTGCAGGCCCATTATGTGCAGAGAAATGTACCAATGCTACAAACATGTAAAATTGTGTGAGGATAAAATCCCAGCCCTCAGAAGCTCACAATCTAGTAACTTCAAACAGTGATAATATAAAGCATATTAACATAGGCTCCATGTATCTTTCATCCCTCTGTGTCTCCCTCAGTGCCTGACACAAAGGTGTTTAATAAATGCTTGCCAAATGACAGTGCTCCTTATTCTTTTGGTGCCATCTTATTTATTGCTTCAAAGGGAATTCATTAGTTTCTTTCTTTTATTTTTATTTTCTGGTGAAAATATACACAACAAAACATAGACTGCTTCAACAATTTTTACATATACAATTCAGTGACATTGTTAACATTCTTCAAGCTGTGCCACCTTTCTTGACAGCCTTTTCCAAACTATTTCACCATCATTAACACAAAATCACTGCCCCCTAAGCTTATTATATATCATTTATAGTCACCGTTGTCAATTTGATCACATATAGATAATTCTTTAAAAGAGTATACTTCTTTTCTAATTAGGATAAACTATTATTTGGTTCAAAGATGACTTCAGGGAATAGTTTTAGTTCAAGGTTTAAAGATTTCTTTGGGGAATAGATTCGGGGGTCATCCAGCCTCAACGGATCCAGAAAGTCTGGATTCCATGAGAATTTTAAATTGTGTTCCTCATTTTCCCCCTTTTGATCAGGATTCTTCAACAGAATCTTTGATACAGATGTTCAGTAATGTTAGCTGGACACAATCCAGTTCTTCAGGTCTCATGGCAAAGGAGGCAGTTGTTCATGGAGACAATCAGACATATATTCCATTTATTTCTTCCACCAGGGAATTCAGTAGTTTCAATGATTTTTAAATATATACTCAGAATTGTTCTGACATGAGTAATCTTTATATTAATAATTCATGATTATCTAATCTCAATTCATTAATCCAAGCATTTTAGGACAGTCACGTGCTTCCACAGATAGTCTATGTGATAAAATAACTCTAGAAATGTTAACTCATCTTGACAAACCAACCGTGATCTGTCTATTTTACTTGCATCTTACACCAAAATTAAATGGAATGTATCAGTCCCATTTCTGCACCCCAGCCAAACATACAATTCGACATCATCATTCTTAGCTACACAGAAAAAATATGGATGTACCTTTTTTACTCTCTTGAGACAACACAGATATTTAGATGTTCACATGTCATAACTGAATTCATGTGGATCTTTGAATACTTGGGCTTCAAATTCCATCTGGCTCTGTAAAATAAAAGTGCTCAAATTAGTATAGATTTGCAACAAAGGTAGGACAAAACAAAGTGTCTACATGTCTCCTTAATGTTTGTGAAGAGACATAGATAACTGAGGGAGACTGGAGCTCAAGTGCTTCTGATTTTCACTCACATAGTGCTTGGAATATATATAGTCAGGACTGACTATCTTCTGAGCACTATGTTTGGTTCTGGGACACAAAGATGAAAAAGACCATGAAGACCCAGCGTTCTGGAATCTCCAGTCTAATGAAGGAAATGGGCCAGAAGACTGGTGAGAACATTGCAGGGCAATGAGCACTTCCCTTGGATGAGCATCAGGTGAGCTCTGGGGTCACAGCCAAGCTGGGGAATGGCTGGAGCATGCTTCCTGGAGGAGAAGCCAAACTGAGAGCCAGGGTGAGAAAGGAAGTGGTCCAGAAAGACAAAAACTCAAGAGTGTCCATAAGATTCATTAACAAGGTAGACGAGAAGAAGCTGAATGATATGGTAGGCTGTAAACCTAGACAATTCTTTTAAGAAACTTGACTGTGAAAGGAAGTCAGTAGGCAGGAAATAGGAGGAGGTATGGAATTAAGGTTAATGTCTCTCTTTCTTATCTTTCCTCCTTCTTTCTTTCTTACAAGGTGGGACAGGTTTGAATCTGCTTAAGTTCTGATGGAAAGGTGTCAGCAGACAGGCGAGAGGTTGAAGATAGAAGGTAAAAAGTGAAAGTAAATGATAAAGTAGTTCCTGAGGAATTGGAAGGAGATAGATCCAGAACTCTCCACCAGTTACTTCTTAAATTCACTCATTCAATTCATTCAACATTTATTAGGCACCTGCCATGTGATAGGCACAGTATATGGGGAAATGACCATGAACAAAGACAGAGTTCCTCAGGGTACATACATCTGAGTGGTGAGACACAATGAGCAAATGAGTAAATTATCATTCTGGGTAATGATAAATGCTGTGAATAAAATAAAGCAGGGTTAGGAAACGGAGAATGAGGGATAAAGTCAGGATGACACAGTGAAGGGAAAGACTGAGGCTTGAGAAGGCCTGGGGAGAGAGCATTAAAGGCAGAGGCACTGAGGGGCAACGGGCTTGGTGGTTGGAGAACACCACGGGTAGGCAGGTGAAGCTCCAGTGGCAAGAGAGAATGGGAGGCAGAGAAGAGGAGGCTGGGAAGAGAGGAATAGCTGATGCACGGACTTTAGAATCCCACTGGAGAGCTCCAAGCAAAGGAGGGCCATGCTAGGACTTGGGTTTTCAAAACGTACTAGACATTGTGGAGAATATCCAGGAGCGGAGATGACAGTGGAAGTAAGAAAGCTACTGATCTAGGCTAGTGAAAGGTGACAGTGGCCAACAGAGGTGTGAAGAAGAGCCACGTTCAGGACCTGTTTTAAAGGAGAAGCTAGCAGCACTGCCAGAGAAAAATTTAGTAGAACTCCTTGGTTTCTGACTGAACAACAGGGTGTATGGGGTGCCATTTATAGAGGGAGAGAAGGCACAAGAATGGGTAGACTTGGAGAAAACCAAGGGTTTGTTCAAGAAATCTGGGTGGACATTCTGAGTAGCAGCTGGGGGCATAGTCTAAAACCAAAACCAAATTCACTGCTGTCAAGTTGATTCCGACTCCTAGCGACCCTATAGGACAGAGCAGAACTGTAATCTTTACAGAAACAGGCTGCATCTTTCTCACAGCTGAGCACTTAACCACTGCGGTAATATTTACATACCACATCACTGCTTAAAATATTTCAGTGAATCCTCATCACCTTCAAGACAAAATCCAGGTTCCAAGCTCCACAGGACTTGGTCCTTCTATGCATGTCCAGCCTTATCACCAATTGCATCCCATACGGAGTGCTCTTCTAATACAGATTCATTGGCACATATTAAACCTCATTGTTTCTTGCATGTATAAATAAGTTAATGAATAATAACAAAAAAAGCAATGGGCTACACTAGTACTATGAAAAGAACAGGTACGTTCCTCATCAATAGGCTTTCCATATTTAGAAGCGATTCTCTGTGGATGAACTTTATTCATCTTATCCCCCACTCACCAGCCAAGAAGTCCTGGGTTGTTTGTCCTAGTTTATGTTTTGGTCATGTTTCAGTGAAAGTACTATTGTTACCTTTGGATCAGGTAAACATGGTCCAAAAGCTTCCAGCAGAAGAGTCTCTTCTCTCACAGCTTGTTCATAGTCTGCAAAAGACAGCTTCCCATCATGGTCATGGTCCTGGAGAGGGGCAAGCCATATGCTAGTTAACATGTTAAAAAATACTTATCCTCAAGCATAAACTATCTTTTCAAAGTAAAGTGTTAATAGAAGAAAGAAGATAGGAAAATAAGAGATTCAACAGTGAAATTGAAAGAACTTTTAATATTGTAATAAAAGAACACTATTCAAGTGTTTAATTTCACCAAGCAGGAATACGATGATTGCCACATTTTAATTATTTCCATCCCATATCTGACCTGTCAATTTTGATATAAACCCTAATTTATCCATATTTACCATTTTCTTAAGTGTTATTTCAACCAAATCCTTAATTCCCTCATCAGGATCTTCTTCAGATGGCTGTTTGAGTAGGCTATTCTTCAACATGTGAAACATTTCCTCCTTTGAAATGAATCCATCACCATTCAAATCAAACACTTCAAAGCAATCTTTTCAAAAAATAACAAATTATAAATTTGATACTACCACCAACGTAACATTTGCTCCGATAAAGTTTTCAAGGCCAAGGTCTATGTTGTTGAAGCTTTTCTCAACCCCATGAACTTAGTGCAATCTGACTTCCATACTAAGGGCTTCAGATATGCTAGTGGAATATATTCAACAACCTTTGGAATATTCCTTACACTTGGCTATGAAAAAGCATGCCAATGAACAATTATGTGGACATTTCCATCTTGAAACTCTAGGGAAATCAACTGGAATGGGACTCTTAAACAGAATCACTCCGAATTAATAATTAATTAAGAATCTGAGCACTTGAATCAATGTTCCCTGGTTTTAGGGTCACAATTCAAGTAAAGAAATATGTAAAATGCTTAATACTTAAAAACATTTTTACATAGTTAGCAAGTATAGTATATGCCTATGCAGTCTTGCTTGCTTGGAATGAATTACTCCTCAGAATCTCTTGATCTTCCTTTTTACTAATTTTTTTACTCATCCCTTAACATTGACTTGAACTCACTCCATACAAGAGGTAACGGGCATTAAAACAAACAAACCTGCCCACCTCACTGGCTGATTTAAAAATCTTGAGATATGTTACCCATGATGTGCAAACAAAATCATTCGCCTAAAGTGGAATAACCTGAAATCTTACATTTCATTTTTTCTTCCAAAGACCCTCGAAGAAACAGTGATAATCCACTAATCCACTCTGCTACGTTGACACAGCCGTCGTTATCTTTATCAAAACCTCGGAACACTAATGAGAGAGAGGTGTGGTGTCACACTTGTGATGCTTTTTCACTCTCGGGAATGGACCTACACTGGTACTTCTCTCTTAAAAATCTGGAGAACTTTGGGATCACACGGTCCAAGGTCCTCATCTGACAAAGGAGGAAACTAAGGCATCATGATATCAAAAAACTCTTTTATTTAAACTTTCGCATTTTATCTTCCTATTTTGTGGTAATAAAGAAAATCTTGAATGTTCAAATATATTAGTAATTAACTAAAATATCTACATAAATTAATAGTAACATTAATTAATATAAAATATATACTTTTTATTTTGGTACTTAAGAAAAATAATATTACTTAACAGATGGACTATATTTTAATTTATACTGAAATGCCTTCTATGATGTAAAGAAATCTGAATGTCCTTTAAAAACCATTCCAATTACTTATTATGTTACTAAGTAGAAATATAAGTTTTCGATTTCCTTATATAAAGTATGGGAAACCTAGTTATTCAACCTGACATTGCCCTCTTCTTAAATATATACACTAGAGTGGATCTTCACTCCCTATGATCTACACAAAATTAAATTTTTATATTCAAGTGAAATTGGAAGTGTAGAGCATTACTGTTCCAACCAAGAATATGTCCCAACCCCAACATCTTTTGATTCTTTCGTGTCTTCTCACCTCTGTCCATAATCATGTCATCTGTCATTCCAAATGTCATATGCAAGATGTTCCGGAAGGCATTCCGATCCAGTCCAGTGACCGCACCGGGCCGCTCTGCTACATCTCCCACCAACGTGTAAAAGAGACTGACTAGGCAGTTCACTTCATATGTATTAACTGTGGAAGAACAGAACTGAGATACAACAAAAATGCATCTTTTCATTAAGTTCTAACTTGCATTCAGGATTAATGAGGTTATAGGCAAACAACATCAAACACATCAAATATGGAGTCGTCATCAGAAGACTCTCCTCTTTTGAGGTTTATGACTCTTAAGTTAATACAGGATGGCCAATGCACTAAAATAAAAGGAATAACATTACCTCCTAACAGAGGCTGAATATTAAACAGATGTAAGTTCAGTCATGTTTAGGAAAAAAGAAAATAATATTAGCCAAGCATCATGGATTGAACTGTGTCCCCCAAAAATGTCTGTCGGCTTGACTAGGTCATGATTCCCAGTATTGTATGATTGTGTAATCTGATGTGATTTCCTTACATGTTGTAAACTCTATCACTATGATGAGGTTATATGTGATCTCCTTATGTGTTCTGAACTCTATCACTATGATGAGGTTATATGTGATCTCCTTATGTGTTGTAAATTCTATCACTATGATGAGGTTATACTGATGAGGTCTACAAGATTGGATAGTGTCTTAATCCAATCTCTTTTGAGATATAAAAGAGAGAAGCGAGCAGAGACACAGAGGAACCTCATACCACCAAGAAAGCAGTGCTGCGAGCAGAGCATGTCCTTTGGACCTGAGGTTCCTGTGCTGAGATGCTCCCAGACCAAGGGAAGACTGATGCATCACAAGGACCTTCCAGACCAAGGGAAGACTGATGACACAAACCTTCCTCCAGAGCCGACAGAGAAAGCATTCCCTTGGAGCTGACGCCCTGAATTTGGACTTGTTGCCTACTGGACTTAGAGAATAAATTTCTCTTTGTAAAACCATCCATTTGTGGTATTTCTGTTACAGCAGCACTAGATGACTAAGACACCAAGTTACCTAAATAAATGATTGTGGGAGCAGATCTTAAACTTTACAAGGTGGGAAAATGTATGTTTCAAAATAAGACAGAGTTCTTTTAAGAATGGTAGTGTTCCTTTTCAGCATTTTGATTATAGGCATTAATGAGATTTACAACTTAACTACTTGCTAAACTCCTTTTCTCTGCAAATGGATACCAGGCTCCTGAAAACCAGGTAACAATTTTCATTTCAATTTAAACCAAAAACCCGTTGCAGTACAATCAATTCCAACTCGTAGCAACCCTATAGGACAGAATAGAACTGTTCCATAGGGTTTTGGTGCAGTGGTTAAAGTGCTCTGCTGCTAACCAAAAGGTTGGTGGTTTGAACCCACCAGATGCTCCTCAGGAGAAAGATGTGGCAGTCTGCTTCTGGAAAGATTAAAAACCAAAGAAGGAGTTCCATTCCTAAGCCTGTCTTTATGTCAGATTTGCAAGTAAGTACGAACAGTTAGGTACCATTTTTATCTAATGCCAGTCAAATGTTTGTCTTAGTATACAGTGTACCTTTCTATGCATTAAAAAAAAATCAAGAAACATCTTTAAAATAATAATACAGTAATAATAATGTGTTGATGCCCATCGCAAATTAGCATTTGTTTGTTATTAAGAACCATTGCATGTACCTTGAATTTTTAATATAATAGACTTAGGGGGGTTGGTTCGAAACTACAGGCTGTATGTAGATTCATAACCCTAGGATTGCCTATGTATTCTAGAATCCTGTTGTAGATCATTTGAAAATTAACATGCAATTGGAGGAAGGAAATTTTAATTTAAAGCATCTATATAACACACACATATTTCCCCAGACACATAATTGTTTAAAGGGTGGTGCTCCAATGCCCATTTGAGGTCCCTAGGAGGAAAGTTTATTGCCTGACAGTAAGAATATAAAAGTGAGTCGAAATATGAAGTATAGGCAGAAGATGAGGAAGGTTCTATTTCAAAACTAGATAAAATTACAGTTGAGTGTTTTCAAAAAGCAAGGGTGGGCCCTGTGTGCACCTTAAAGAGCATTAGCATATAGGGATTGAGTAGCACCACCTTATCACACAGGCACTGCTCTGGGCCAAGCTTGAGTGTTACTTCTGGTTTTGGATCCTGCAATTTAAGAGAAGCGTTGAAAACTTTGGTGGGGAGAAAACCTAAAAGATTTGGCATATAAACTGATTAAGTAACAGGAAAAACATAAATATGAATGATTACGATTTAAAAAGAGCTGTTAATGGTTAGGAAAGAAAAGCCTGTATGCAGAATGATGTACTAACTCTGTGAAATGCTAACAGAGAATTTTCCCACCTCAACTGAAATATGAATGAAAGAAAAGTAGCTTAATTTATTACCTGAATGATCAGAAGGTTATCCATAAGAAAACTCTTTCTTGCTGATATTCTAGAATACAATACAAACTCTAGAATACAATACTAAATGAATTAAGGGGAATTCAGTAACGGATTTTCATCTTTTTGGAATAGTGTAAATGTGTCTTGCAGACCATGTTTGTAGAATGGTGGACTAACAAGACAATCACTTTAGATCTTTTCTTCTTCTCTGATTATACAAAATTTATCCACTTCATCCGGTGACATTATCACCTGACAACTAAAAGTAAATTTGAACTTAGGGGGAAGGTCCCCTATTTATAAAAATTTGAAATTATTATATTGTCCATGATTTGTAACTATCTCTATGGAATTTAACTGGTAATCATCAAAGTTTGTGAATCTCACTTAAAAAAATTATTTAAGGACAGAAATTGAGAAAGTTGACTGTTTTTCCTCTCATGTTTTCACTTACCTTCTAAAATATATACTCACCTTGTTTGCAGAATGGCTGTTTGCAATATATTGTAAACTTACTGAGCAGGAGCTAAATCAGATTCAGTGTTTTATACAGTAGTTACTGCATTGTTTATGATTATTTATTCGAAACGCTTACTAGACATTTTAAGAATATCTGGTCTTTTCCCCGAAATGAAAGCGTTTTAAGGAAAATAACAACAGAATAGAACAACAACAAAAAATCTTCATCAGATTATAATAATCACAATAATGCCTTAAGTTACAGGATGCCTTTTTTCTAAGAAGTTTAAAATGCTTATACACATCCTTTTATTTACAATACTACCCCACTAAGAGTAATCACACTCATTACATCAGATACGATGATTAGAAGGCACTGGATCCTGTAATCTCTAGAACTACACTAAAACTTGGGATCGTGGCTACTCCTGTTTCCCCAAGTGGCTAGTAGTTTTACAATAAGCACATAATTTAGAAGCTTGCTCACCAGACAACATATTCCTCATCTGAGCCATATTCATGGTTTCCATGTCCCCCAAAAGTTTTACTTTTCAGTCTGAGTATAATCCTGAAGTATCCTATGAAGTTCTAGGACCTCCTTTTAAGACATGCGATTAGGTAGATATCTTTAATTAGCACTTTTGTCACCTGCAAGCCTCCTTTACCTTTCAACCCCACCAGCAACTGGAAAATGGAAGTGGAGTTGGGAACAGATTCATTACCATGCATTTAGCTTTGTTGATCTCTTTGGTTTCCAAACATCTTCTTGCTATGAGGTAGTTTTCTGTGCCACTTTAACTCTTCTTTCCTAAAAATGGTCAGACATTGATAGCCACTTTCTCTGTGGTTCCTTTGCTAAGCTTCCAGGACTTGGATTCTGCAGGTTTATTTCCTCTAAAAAGAGCTAGAAAGTAGGGGGAGGTACACAGAGCAGGTTGGTTGTGATACTGTTCTTAAGTCTGGTGGTCTTTTGTACTTATTTTACACCTCTGTCTGAGACTAAAACCACACGTGTCTCCTGGGCATATAAATCACTTTTCTAGAAGGTAAAAATAATTGGGTTTGAGAAGAAAGGAGGTGCAAGCGTGGGAAGATAGTGCTCGATGTCTGAATACTGGCCCTTACAGATCCTGGGCGTGGGTGCCTGTCCCAAAGGACTACAACCCCAGGACTCCCTGCCAGACTTCTCATTGGGGGTGGGGTGCAGAAAGACAGCAGCGAGATGGGGCTACACGGTCACACAGACTCTGGAGGCGGAAAGCAGCGGGCATTAGCACCGGGTCGGACCCGGTCCAGGAGCCTTATCTGTCCAGCTCTTGCTTCTTACTTACAATGTCTGCAATTTTTAGTTAAGGTGTCCGTTAACTTCTGCAGTTTCTTGCGGTTCATGCTGGGCGTTCAGGGAATCTGGCCTTGGTCGGTGTCTAGGAGGGCGCCGCTGGGACCCTCTGGAGTCCTGGGGCTGGGGCAGCCTGGCTGGCCCCGGCGGCAGAGCGCGTGCACGGCCCTAACACACAGTATGGCGATGGCAAAGGCTAGGCGGGCCACCTATTGGCTGCGGCCTGGGGAGCGCAGGGCGGCGCCAGGCCCCAACACACAATGTAGCCCTGGCAACAGCCCGGCCTGCAGCCGATTGGCTCCCAAGCTAGGGCGCCTGGGCGATCGCGCGTCTGGCTTGAGAAGCCCAGCCAGGAGCGCTGCGGAGTGTGTTTTGCTTGCTGAAGGTGACGTTCTAATTTTCAGTTGTAAATTTTCAAGTTTAAAAACATACAATGCACGCTGTATGGGGGATGTTTTGGTTGGTGAAAGTTACACCTTGAGCTGAGGCTTAAGATCGCCTAGGAGACCGGGGAGAACATGGAGGGGCTTAGAGAAATGGCAATTGCGCTCACAGACCATGCATGTCTTGCAGGACCTGAAGAGTGGGCTCCTTGGGCTGAGCCACCCTTTCGATTGGATTGTCAGCCTTTTTGCTCCGAAGCCAGCAGGGAGTTGTTGGTCATGTGACTGGGAGCAAGAGGAAAACTGGAATTTTTTTCCAGTTCATCCCTGGGTTGCAGGATACCGCAAGTGGAAAACCACTGGCAATTTTTAAACTAAAGAGGCGGCCTCCGCGGTAGAGATAGGCTGACAACTACAACTTGGGTGTGGGGTACCGTCAGACTTACCTTTCTGGAAAATAGCCCAGGAGAATTGATCACTTCCTTATCTGAAAGATTTTGACTGCAAACAAAGGACATCTTTTGTGTGGGAGGACTTTCTGCTCTTTTTCACCACAGATCGGACACCCTCTTTGAATTAACACTGCAGTATAATGGGCTGGGTCCGCCGGGAGCTCAAAACCTGCAGTATTCTCCAGCGCTCATTTGCTTGACTTCAGAGGGGAAAGTGGCCTTTGGAATACAAACTGTTTTACAGTACACATACTGTCGTCTTTAGACTGAAAGCAGAAAAATGCTGCCAACCATGTGTAACAATCCAAAATAAAATAGTTCCAGTCCGGAGGTCAGGTTTTCCTTTCCTGTTTCATGTGTTTGTCTGGTGAAGGATTGGGATGCTGTTTGAAACAAGAGCAGATGATGCTTGGCAAAAATAAGCCAAAAGCCAAACCCGTTGCAGTCGGTTCCAACTCATAGCAACCCTGCAGGGCAGAGTAGAACTGCCCCATAGAGTTTCCAAGGAGTGATTGGTGAAGACAGAAACTGTATTATTGTAAAACTAATTTAACCATATGAAATGATAACAATGGTGAGTATGAGTTTCCAACAGTACTCTGGTTAAATAGGGTTCCTCTGTGCAACCTTGTCTAACAGCTGTGAAATTACTAATGAGATTGTAGAGAACAGATGGAAAGGACTGGGCATATGTTAATTACACTCACCCATGAAACTCTAGTGGCTTTTGTTAGATTCTAGAGTTGTAGCAAATATTTAACTCATGAAGCCTGATACAGTGCTCATTTCAAAAGACAGGAGCTGAAAGAGTGGTTGTTTGGAGCTCATAAGAGAATGTCTTATGGAGAAGAGCAGGCCTCTGCTGGCCATGAGCATGCTGATGGGGCGTGTACAGGCATCTCAACAAACATCACAGGGAGAGCTTGCTGGGGAGCAGCTACTGGGTGAGAAATCAGTTCTTATTTTACAAGCTGCAAGCCAAGGGCTCACCTGCCATGTTTCCTTTCAAGTGGAAAAAGTGATGTAGGAGGAATAGCACAGACTGCTGAGGTTAAAATGTTCAAATCTGTTATACCAGGCAAAAAAAAACCCAAAAAACAAACTTAACCTGTTGAGAAACTTTTGTGAGCCTTCACCTCCTCCAAAGTTCTTTCTTGCATAGTATTCTTTTAGCACACATCTCCAAAAGCTTTGTTGTATGAAGCTGACTATGAAGCCTTGCAAATCTTTCTCAGAAAAACCTCAGGGTTCACTGGTAGCATGCTTTGTCAGCATATTGGTAAAGTGCAGAGTCTTATTATATTCCCATGAAGTTTTTGAAACTGATATTTTTAGACTTTAGAAACAAGTTGTATGTATGATAAGTACCTGGGTGGCACAGTTTGCACTTGACTACTAACCCAAAGGTTGGTAGTTTGAAGCCAGCCAGTGGCACCAAGGAAGAAAGACCTGGCAATCTTCTTTTGTAAAGATTACATCTGAGAAAACGCTATGCAGCAGTTTTGTTCTGTAGCACATGCGGTAACCATGAATTGGGATTGACTCAATGTCAATGAGTTTGGTTTGGTTTGGTATGTCTGCTAGAAACAGTCAGCTAATAACATTTTAAGACAAATTGAAATTTCTGTTTGTAGCTTTCAGTTGCTTGTACTGAGTGAAAAATAATTGCTTTTTCCAATTGCTTTTCCCCAAGCATTTCTCAAAGTAAGGCAATTAAACCTGAACAGTGACCTCATATCAAATTCATCAATAATGGAATAATAAAACATTCTGTTTAATTTTTTGTGCCTAAGTTTTGCTGTGCCTAAATTGATCATCTAACTTTCCAAAATTCAAGCAACATCAAGATGGATTCTTTTGTAGATACAATTTTTTTTTTAAAGATACATTAAAGTAACTGTTAATGCAATAAATGTTTCCTTTAACTTTATGGGCAAAACAATCTTCCCTTTGACTTACAGTTAATTGGAATTTTGCCATGATAAATAGCTTGGGCCTTGATTTGAAGAAAGTGTTTTACTTAATGTGGACCCTATTATGGAGAAGGTATTTGGAAGCCGTTTAGGAAATGACATCATAGAATTGATCTCCAAGTATGTTACAAATCTTTTATGAAATAGTTTTAATAAAAGTAAAGTAGAAAGACTAGTCACCTACATAATTTAAATTTAATGTTACTAATTTTATTTTGTAGAGACAGTGATGAGAACAGGTAATTTAACCCTCTGGTTTGGTGACTGAACAATACTCCTCTATCTTTGCCACTTTCCCCTTTGCTCGTAACTGTAGTCCCATGAGCTTGCTTTCAGTGCTTCAAACCCACCAAATGCTCTCTCACCTCAGAACTTTTGCATATTCTCCACCCCTACCCCCATGACAACCCTTCAAAGAGCTCTGTTTTGACTACCCTGTGTGGAATGAAAGGAGCCCTGGTGGCACAGTGGTTAAAGCTGCTCAGCTGCTAACCAAAAGGTCGGCGGTTCGAACTCACCAGCCCTTCCAAGGGAGAAAGATGTGGCAGTCTGCTTCCATAAAGATTTACAGCCTTGAAAACCCTGTGGGGCAGTTCTACTCTGTCCTATAGGGCCACCATGAGTCCTGGGCTTTTGGTTTTATGTAGAGTGAATCCCTCCCTGGGCCATCATCTCCCTCAGGACTGTTTCCTTTCTTGCACTTATCAGAGTTGTAAAGCTTTCTTTTCTTTTTATCTCTCCTTCCCATTAGACTGTGAACTACATGATCTCTCTCTCTTTTTCTATTTTTATGTCTATTTTCATCTTTATATGTATCTATCATCTATCTATCTATAGCTCTGAAGTTTAAAAACACAGTCTATGTTCTGTTACTATTATTAATGGAGCCTGGTGGGAAAATTTGCCAGATTGAGGAATAAACTGCTAGGTTTCCTCACAATATCTCCATTGTCAAGAACTATGTTAGGATGGCCTTGCAACAGCGCTTGGGTTGGGGCTGCTCTTCCCTCTCTGGGTTGAGATGCATGTGGAATGGATGTGATGGAGATCCCCCTCCTTGCTGGTGCACCCTCTCCTCACATGCATCTGGGGCTAGGAGCCAGGGGTGTGAGTGGGTTTGTGTGTGTGGGAGAGTGAGTGTGTGTGTGAATGTGTGAATGTGTGAGTGAGCATGTGTGTGTGTAGGAGTGAGTGTACGATTGTGATTGAGTGTATATCAGTGTATGAATGTGCGAAAGTGTGAGAATGTGAGTTCCTGCAGGAATATGTGAGTGTGATTGTGTGTGAGTGTGAGTGTATGGTTGTGATTGAGTGTGAGTGTGTATAAGTGTGGGAATGTGAGTGTTGGAGGCAGTATGAGTATGTGAGTGTATGAGACAGTGATTGTGTGTGTGTTCTGACACTTATGGAGATATTCAGGAGATAGTAATTTCTAAAGCTCATTTACCTTAAAACAAACAAAAAAGACCCCACTGCCTTAGATTCGATTCCAACTCACAGCAACCCTATAGGACAGAGTAGAAATGCCCCATAGGGTTTCTGAAGCAGTAAATCTCTGCCATGTCTTTCTGCCCTAAACTGGCTGGTGGGTTCAAACCACTAACCTCTTGGTTAGCACCTGAGAGCTTTAACTACTGCATCACCAGGGCTCCTCATTTACCTGACAGAGGTGTAAAGACGTCTTTTTATATTCAGTATTTCCATACCAAATATGCAGTGTCTCAGCTTTGTGCTCAAAAAGATGTGTGGGCAACAAAGAAGAGTTTTCTTTTAAACTGAACTTCAACCAAAATACACACTCATCTGTCAGTTTGTCCTCTGTGCTGGAAATGAGCCCCTCAGGTTGAAAGGCACTCAAAATACAGCCGAGGAAGAGCTGCCTCCTCAAAGTAGAGTCGACCTTAATGACATGGATGGAGTCAAGCTTCCGGGACCTTCATTTGCTGATGTGGCACGACTCAACATGAGAACAAACAGCTACAAACATCCATTAATAATCAAAACATGGCATGTACGAAGTTTGAATCTATGAAAATTGAATGTCATCAAAAACGAAATGGAATGCATACAGATCGATACGTAGGCATTAGTGAACTTAAAGGGACTGGTATTGGCCATTTTGAATTGGACAATAATATGATCTACTATGCCAGGAATGACAAAATGAAGAGGAATGACACTGCATTCATCATCATAAAGAACATTTCAATATCTATCCTGAAGTACAAAGCTGTCAGTGTTAGAATAATATCCATGCGCCTACAAGGAAGACCAGTTAATACAACTATTATTCAAATTTGCACACCAATTCCACTA